TGAGGCTACCACGAGGATGCCAAGAACCCCGACAACGGCGAGATCAGTGGACCTGTCCCAAGGTTGGGACTTTGGTCTTCAAGAACATCGACAAAATGCACTTGACGTACTCCGTGATCAACGCCCCGCCATTTTGGTTCTAAGAGGTGATGGACCCGGAGAATCTCATTCCAGACCACTCGCCGAGCAGAACAGAGCCCTCTCCTTTGTGCAGGTTTTAGCTCAGATACAGCCCCAGGCAGGCAGGGGCTTTATCATCGAGAAGCCGTCTGCCCGAGCACTTCATCAACTACAATCTTTGCGTGATGACCCTCAAGTCTTTGAAGTTCGCGTGGATATTGACCCACGAGCGACATCCAAACCTCAGACCCTCGTGATGACCAACATGGAACCGCTGGTGGAGTCCCTTAACAAGCGACTAGCTTCGGCAAAACAAGTGCCCGAGACAATGCTGAGCGACCAAGGAAAGCATGTGTTTGCCGAAATTCTTTTGCAAGGCATACGTCAACACCTTCGACAACCAGCTCTCGTGATCCAACATTGCCCTGATCAATGGTCGGTCAACGCTATCAGTTTGGCTTGTCGCCACTTTCACCCAAGAAAACTACCGGTGACGCCAGCAGAGTGTCATCAGTGGGATGTTTCACGTCTTCGCTTCACCGGCCACCGCACCACTGTCAAGAACTACGTGGGTGGTGCCTCTAAAGTGGTCCAAGACCGTTGGCCTTCATCCGAGTCCAGCCAAATGACTGACCCGGAGTTTTGGACAGGCCTCACAACCTTTGAGCTTGAGCCGCAGACGCTGCTCCCGGAAGCCTACTTCAACCTCGCCACTTGGCTTGCGGCAGGTGTTTCTCACATGATGTACACCTTTCGAGAGTCAGAGGCCTCCTTCCAAACGGAGTGGCTTTCAATTTTTCCATCGCACAACATTTTGGGGGAGGATGCAAGAGCCGATCGCGCAGAACGTCGCGGTCGCAGAGTCCGCTTCCAAGATGCTGATGCTGACGATGCCCTCGACGAGATCGATGGCGTCCCTTTTGCTCAGGAGATCGAGATGAATCACGATTCTCCAACCTCTTTGCAACCCTCTGCTGAACCTGAAGCAGTGAGAGATGCGATGGAAGTCATTGGGTCAGATGAACAGGCAGTACGTCGTGACCTTCGTGAACTTCAACTACCACCACTTCCCGAAGAAGCAACTTCGACATCTCACTCTGAGCTGCCAAACATACCACCTGCAGATATTCGACGGGAGCTGTTTCGAGTACACCGCAATCTGGGACACCCAGACAGAGCAACGTTTCTTCGGGCGTTGAAGAACGCCGGCGTGAAAGTCGAGTATCTCAAGTGGGTGAGAAAAGGCTTCGAGTGCCCAATTTGCACTCAACAGAAGCGCCCCGCAAGCCAGAGACCAGCACATGTGGCGGCCCGGTCCATGCCATTTAATGAAGTCGTCGGATTGGACCTGTTTTTCCTGGATCGTAGAATCTTCTTGAATATGGTCTGCTGGGGGACTGATTTCCAATTGGTGGAGCTGATTGGGGACAAGTCTTCGTCTACGGTGGCCACAGCCTTCGCCCAATCCTGGTTGGCGCACTACGGCCCTCCGGCCATGGTCATTTGTGACCAGGGGACAGAGTTCACTGGACAGGATTTTGTCAATTTGATGTCGGATAACGCTACAGTGGGTCACTTTACCGACACAGCATCCCCTTGGCAGAACTCGAGAACGGAGAAGGCAGGTGGAGTGTTCAAGCCGAGATTGGCCAAAGTGTGCCAGGAAACCGCGATTACCACCGAGCAGGACTTGAAGATTGCCATCGCCGAAACAGCCATGATGCACAACAAATACTACGACAGGAGCGGGTTTACCCCGCATCAGAGGGTGTTCGGGTCAAGCCTTCGATTCCCATCCACATTGCTTTCAGATGATCAGGTGGACAGGGAGTACCTCAATGACACCCAGACGGACCACATGATCAAAACTCGCCAGATTCGCGAGGCGGCTATGAAAGCATGGACGGAGTACCAGGACTTCCAAGCCGTGACCCGAGCCGTCAAGAGCAACACCCGCACCATCGACCAACTACCACTCAAGGTCGGGGGCCGCGTCTACGTCTGGAGAAGGACACCAGAATTCCGCGGATGGTCAGGACCTGGAGGGGTTATCCAGATCACCGAGAATGGCCGATCGTTATGGATCAGCTTGAGGGGCTACCTTCTCAAGACGTCGAAGGAGCAGATCCGGCAAGCAACCTCAGAGGAGAGCTTCGGGGTGGAACTACGCCAAATTCTGGATCGAGGCCTTTTGGAAGATCTGGAAAACGGTCGAGTCCGAAACTACCGAGACGTGCAAGGAGAAGGTCCACCAGAGATGATGATCTTCTGGATGAAGCTGAGTTTGCGGATTATTCACCCACAGAACCGGGGGATGACGTGACAATGCAGCTACCGGAGAATGGGGATGTGGAGACCCATCCAGAAGTACCAGATGCACCACAAGCTCCCGCGACTCCTCAACCACCAGAAGCCTCGGAGGTTGGGAGTACTACTGTGCCAACGGAACCCACAACACCAGTGCCTCTGTCCCGGAGATCAAGCATTCGAGTTGACGAGGGCACGGGTGGGGAGTTTCCTTTTGACCCAATGAGAGAAGTTAGAACGTCGGTCCCTTTGCCGTATCCTATGGTGGCGCAACTACCTTCGTGGCGGCGCCACAACAACCCATGCACTACCTGGAAGTGAAGGACCACTCGAATGACAAGGAGAAGGTCAAGTGGTGGCACGACAAGGCCAGGAATCGTTGGGAGCCGGTGTCCAGAACAAAGTCTACGTTTACCCGAGAACATGCCGAGGCCGTTTATGACTACTTTGAGAAGAAGATGTTCCTCACCAAGAAGAAAGAAAGCCCTGGACACGTGGACTTCAGGAAACTTCCGGAGCGCCTGAAAAGGATCTTCAGAAAGTCCCGAGACAAGGAGATCAACAGCCTGCTGTCCAGTGGAGCCATCAAGGTGTTAAGCCTGCAGGAGTCTCAGGAGTTTGAACGCCTACACCCGGACCATGTGCTCACAAGCCGGTATGTGGACAGATGGAAGCCAGTGGAAGAAGGAGCCACCTTGCCAGAGAACTTCGACGCCTACAACGTGTCCAATGAGGAGGCCTCCACCGTTGCCCCAAAGTCGAGATGGACGGTGGTGGGCTGGAAGGACCCAGAAGTCCACAGCATCGAGAGGTCAGCACCTACGCCGCTTTCGACCTCGATATACCTGGCGATGCAAGTGTCGGCAAGCCGATCCTGGACAGGTTTTGTGCGTGACGTAAAGACAGCTTTTCTCCAAGGGCTTCCGACGACGAGAAAGCAAAAACTGGCAGTCCGAACGCCACCGTGTGAACATTTTCCCGAGTATGACGCCAAGCAGTTGATCTTGTTGCTCACGGAAGTATACGGTCTAGTATCCGGACCGTCGTGGTGGCGTCGGTCCTTACTCAACGTGCTCATCAAGGAGCTCGGGTACAAGTTGTGCCCCTTTGACCGATGCGTTTTGGTCCTCGATGCTGACCCCAATGAGAAGCTGGAGGACCAGGAGAAGACGCAACGCATCGTGGTCGTGGAAATCGACGATCTGCTGGAAGCTGGGTCCCAGAGACATCGAGAAAAGATGGCCCTCCTGGAGAAACGGTTCCGCTTCGGGAAGGTTACCAACTTGATGGAGACCGAGGCTGGATCAGGATATGCGGGTCGTCGTCTACGGCAACGTCAGGACTACAGCTTTGTGTACAGCATGACCGACTACGTGACCAACAGACTGCGATATGTGGACGTGTCTCGCCATGTGACCAAAAAGGCTGCCCCACAGACTGCTCTTCAGGACGACGAGGAAAGCCAACTTCGAAGGGTTATCGCTGCCATCAATTGGACAGCGCGGGAAGGCAGGCCGGACGCAGCGGCAGCTGCATCTATTCTGGCTGGTTGCTTCCCAAACCCGAAGATGCAGGATGTGTACTCCGTGAACCAGGTCGTCCAGAACCTCCAGAGTCGAAAGATCGACTTAATCATCCATGCGATCGAGGAGCACAAAGTCCGCCACGTGGTGATCTCCGACTCAGCGTTTGATCCGACAGGACGCACCAAACCACAGCATGGCTGGTTGCAGGGAGTCACCACTCCGGACTTGAACCTCGGACGCCGGGCTCCAACCAGCCTCATAGCCGTCATAGCCTGGAAGTCTCGCAGGATGAAGCGGAAAGCAGGGAACACCCTCCTCTGCGAGTCGATTGCCATGTCGACAGCCATGGGAGCTTTAGAGCGTCAGGTTGCCACATGGAAGAGCCTCACGGTGTCCAAGTACGATCCCAAGGACGACGGCGGCGAAGAAGATGAGGAGGAATCCAAGCTCACCGTCATTGCCGCAGAGGACCCGAACTATGTGGACCCAAAGGCCGTGGCGATAGCAGACGCTAAAAGCCTCTACGATGCTCTACATTCAGAACAGTCTCATGGTGACGACGACCGTTCGGCCTTGGAAATCGCGATAATCCAAGGTTCACTGAGAAACTTCGAGGCCGTATCCGTTGGGGTCCCCACAACTTTAACCCGGCGGATGGGCTCACCAAGTTAGCCGGAGCCCACATGGAGCCCCTCTACAAGTTGCTCTCCACGAACAGCTACGTCATCGAAGAAGAGGCTAGTGTTCTGGCACAGGGAAAGCAGAGCAATTCGCGCCTCAAACGAGGCTCCCTCACGGCAGACAAAGATTTTGGGGGCTGAAACGTCCCTTCTGCTTTCATGAGTACAGTCATGATTCCGCCGTGAGCTGTGAACACAACTGGCTGCCCGCAGCGCTTGAGTCCTCATGCTGCGCATGTAAAATGCGTGCCCTTAGCAACCTGTTTGCTTTCAGCACATTGCTATCGGTTGCCTACCTTCTGGAAGGTGATTTGCATGTCTAGTCAACAAGATGGCAGCAAATAACGCAGCCCTGAGTAGCCCCGAGGCGCGATGCGCCGCCCAACCGGCCCTTTCTTTGCGGATGGACTCCACAAGCCTGGAGCAGGCGCGGCGGAGTTCTCTGGAGCGTCCGCGGAGCGCGCCGCGTCCGCTGGAGTCCCCGGCAGCGCCCAAGGCCTTCGGTCCTGCATCTGGCCGACGCATGGGTGCAGAACGACTGAGGAAAGCGCTTGGCTACGAGGCTTGGGGATGGGTCCTCCTTTGCTGCATCCGGGCAATTCGGGCTTTGCACGCTGCAGCAATGTTGCTTCCTGGATTCGACATCGATCACAGAAGTCACCCAGAGTTGTCGTCTTGGCACGCGGTTCCCTTTCGAGGCCGGGGAGGCCTGCAGTAGCGACACGTGCCTTTGCCAGCAAGGCCAAGCCATTTTGTGAGTTTGAGTCGTTGTGAGTCCGGTCGGCACTGTCGCTGGAATTTGCGGTGAGTCTGCCACAGAATCGCTTCTCGGTCTGGTGTGCAGCGTCCTCTCCATTTGCAACTTCCCCTTGCCTGCCCGCACCCTTTCCGAGGACGTGTTCGGATTCGGAAGCTGAGACGACCAGCTGCGAGACGGAGACTCTTCTGCCTGAGGTTGTCTGCAAGCTTCAACGTGATGGCCGAGCTGTGATGCATTGACTATGCACTCGAGATCCATGCTCGGTCAAGCGCACTTTCACGGCCTTGCATGCTTTCCTCACGTGGATTCGGTCTGCTGTTCGTTTCAGCGTTCGAGTTTGTTGCAGCATGTTGCAGGAGTCGATCTGTTCAAGCAGTGCCATGCTTGCTCGAAACAGTCGCTCGGACCTTATTTTGCGGAAGGCAACCCTCGTTCTAGAATTCTCCGGTTGGGAATCCCGTCGGAGTGCAAAAGGAGGCCGCAGCGAGAGAGAGAGAGAGAGAGAGTCAGAGTCGCGAGCCCTTCAGGAGAGACCGAGGAGCCCGAGATCGCCGCGACCGTCTCCACGCTTCCAGAACTTGAGATCGCTCTCAGACGACAGCTTCGACGCTTCGAGCAGGTCGGCACATCATCGGAAGCCGCTGCGGCCTTGATGCTGACACAGTGACTTGCAAGCAGGGATCCAAGCATGACCTCGACCTCGATGCCAGCTTTGCCACACTTGGACGAACTCGTTTGGCCAACGTTACTGTATTCGTCGTCTGAAGCCATGTTGTCATGGAGGCACTACAAGCAACGGAGGCGGATTGCCAGGCTCCCCAGCTGCAAGTAGCATCTCCCTAGCTCAGGGTTTCTGAGCAGATGCTTGACCTGCACCGGCCGTGGCTGTATTCTCCGAGGAGCTCCAATGCTACTTCGGCATTGACACCGCGGAGTGGTGCAGGCACGAGTCAGCTACAGCACAATCGGCTTCATGCCCAGTGAACTCACTGTGTTTCTTTTCTGTTGGTTCTCAGTTGCGGGGGAAGCGGCATCTAGATGCACTAAGGTTGTGAAGCAAGTCTTGCTCATTGGCTGCAGCTGTACCCATCTGACACTCTTCCAGTCCTGAAGCTTCCCACAGGAAAGATTTGAGCACAAATGCCTGCCGACTGCTGGAATCGCTGAGTGCATCTCGGTTTTCCAGAATGGGAGCTAGCGCAGCGACTGCTTTCCATGGTTGGGAATGTCATGAGCCAGGGTTAAGGAGGGAATGCGGGTAATGGTGTTCCCGCAATGCTTTTGCACGTTGTGGCCACAGACTCACAGCAAGTCCCAGGCTTCCAGCAACTTTAGCCTAGGTTCCACTGAAAGCATCGGGACTACAAGCCGCCGAAGCAAAATGCATAGCAGAAGAGAGTGCAACGGAGCATGGAAGGAAGTGCAAATCAAAATGGCAGAGCGGATGTTTCATCGGAAAGTCGAATGCGGCTCTAAACGGAGCATGAGTCAGGACCGTTTGCGTAACTTTGGGCTGAATGCAGCCGGCAGCCAAAATGTTCGCCATCGGAGCTGCAGATTGCTCGAGAAGATCGGGCAAAGAACTCTAGCAAGTAGATCAACATGAGGCTTTACGTTTTCCAGTCAGTTCAGGCAGGCAGTGTTCTTGGCAGCTGGCAGATCATACTGGGGCAGCAATCGTCACGGTTCGAGTCATAGCAGCACTGAGTGCATCGAGGAGCAGCCATCATCGTCGTCATCGTCATCATCATAATCATCATCATCATCGTCACCACCACCATGCGATCAGCACCTTCAGCACCATCACAACGCAGTAATCGCATCGTTCGTGCTGCGCACTCGGTTTCCGACAGTCGGGCCATGTAAGATGTAGAACGAATCTATATGTTCTTCAGATGCAGCCAGCACCAGGACAGAATCGATCGAGAGCTTGCTCTCTCAGAGCCAATACCAACGCCAATTCTTACTTTGCTTCTTCATCATCAGACCATGAAAATGCAAAGCATTCCTGGCAAAATTCTGCACAAGTCTCGCATGAAGAAGGCGCAGTTGAATTTGCTTACAGAAGCAGCCTTCCGAACCCAAACCAAGGAAGTTGCCGTCCTGGTTACCCATCAAACACGAAGGCTCACATGCTGTAGACAAGCAGCGACGACGACATCGATCGATAAGTGCAAAGCTTCCGAGGAAGATCTGCTTCTCCGCAGCCGATTCCAAATAATTCTGGGGAGCCTTTATGAAGATATCGAGACATCTGGGAGGGATGCTGGAAGTGGAATGCCCTCTACATTTGGGCCATGGAAACAAGCTTCATGTGATGCACAGGCAATTGTCGTGGGGCAACAACACCCGCATCCTGTGATGGCGAGCACGTTGTTATATCTGTTCGGAACGACGAGTGCATCCGAGTTGATCTATCTATCCAGAAGCATCCTTTGGTTTGCGCGCAGTATGCTGCAGCCATGTTTCATGACTTCAGTGTAGAACCCTCCATAGACGCGCACGCCTCGAAATCATGGCAGAACGGCTTTCTCAGCTTGTGTCAAACTTCCAGAAGAGCTCTATGATGCTCTATGAAGAGATTGTCTAAGGACTTCGTGGTGCAGATCAGAGGCGCCTGGGAAGACTTGGAGACGCCTGGGCGACAAACTAAGCAAGAATCGAAGTGGGCGTTGCGAGAAGACCAGCTATCACGTTTACAGATACTTGCTCTGAGATACCGTTCTCGAATCTGAAGTCACTTGCAAATTTCGGACTGAGGAAGCATGCCCAGTCAAAGCACGGGCGGCTCTCTTCGGAGACTCCCCGGAAGACGCCGCGAAAGACGTCCAGGGAAGCCTCCTCGCAGCCTGTCTGCCCGAAGCAAGTCTGTGTGCGAAGGAGGTATTGTCACACTGTGTTCGTAGGTCATATAAGTGTAGAGCAACCCCCCTTCGACGATGCTTGACTGCTTGTGTTGGAGTTTAGGTGATCCATTTGCTGTAGCAGGAAAGCATAGCGAGTGGGATGGCAGTGCAGCGCTTTTGCATTCGGTTAGCGTGGATGAGGCAGTCGTCTCTGCAGCCATCAGTACAGGCCGCCGAGTTTTGTAGCTGTCTCCGTGTTTACTGACCGAGGCAGGCCTCGCGACCCGGTAAGCGGACCGTCAACCACTCACCATGCTAGTCGCTGCTAGTCATGTAGTACCGCGTTAATTACGGGAGATGGTGCAGAATCTCATGCCAGTTGTTGTGTTCAGGAGCTGCAGATTATTCGGCCGGCTGTTGCATCTGTGCCGCAGGCTGTCAGGGTGTGCTGAAGAAGAGGCTGTTGAAGCATATTTACCATTACGAACCCCGGCCGACTTGTTGCCCACATAGCGAATCAAGGCTGCTTGCAACCCCCTGAATGGCATGGTTGCCACGACTTGCAGGATGCTGACCAACTGCGTGAGTCACAGCGGCTCAATCAAATGCGGGAGTGGCATCGTCTCGTGTCCATGTCCCGGCGTCGGTAATCTTTCCAACCATGGGTAGCGGGTAGCTGCATGCAGCCCCACCTGGTCACCTCCTCCATGTTTGAAGAGTCAGACTAGACAGGCATAACGGGGCTTGGGCCACGGCTTTTGAATGGAGCGAGGTTGTGCACTCTGAACACCAGGCACTTCACAGTTTTTTGCAGACGTGGCCATGCGACTGCTCCGCAAACCAGAATTGATTGACTGAATTGAGAGTGTTTGAACAACTTTTTGTGCAGACTCTGCCTCTATAACAGGCATCTTGCAGCTGTAGCAGCGACTGGTCATGGCATCCGCTGATTTGTTCAGCACTGTGGCTTAAAAGAACATCATATCGTACATTGTGTTATGCCTAAGTTTTGCACGTCGGGTGCCCTGGCTTATGTCAATGTGGCGGAGGCAGGCTGGGCAAACTCCATTTGTATCGCAATTTGATAGTCTAGATTGGACAGCAGAAAAGTTAGCACACACATGATCACGGCTTGACAACCTGGAGGGCGATTCCCGCCCCAGCATGCTCATGCTGTTTATTCCCTGGCAGACAGCCGGCTGTTGACGGCGGCTTCAGATGGTCTGTCAGCAGCCGCTGTCATGTTTGGCCGTCACTTGCGCTGGCGGCAAGACCTGCTTTATCGACAAGGGAAGCTCTTACTCGTGGGCCGGAAGCATTGCGATCTTTGCATACCTTGCATGGCTGACAGCTTTTTGGGCACACTTGTTTTCTTGCTCCAAAGTCTACTCGGAGGTTGCTGCAGTGCAGCATTCGCTATCTGTGTGGAACTGCTGCTGCTGCTCTGCCAGCGTGGTCTTTTTTTCGCCGGAACTAGAGCTCAAAGTCCGCTTAAAGCCCAAACTCCAAAAGCCCTCTGAAAGCTGTATAGCCTGAGCCCATGGTTCCAAATCTGAAGCCCTGAGCCTCAAAACGTAAGCACCAATTCGTAAATGCTGAACACCCAAGCATGAATCCCGTACGCTTGAACCGAAGCCTCTACACCAAACCATGAATTCTATGGCAGAGCTGGGTCACTGTTTCAGAACCTCTCCTCGTTCTCGAATTGAGAAGGTTTCCCCGTTTCAGTGCAAACAACAAGGTGAGGCGGTGCTTAATGCCGCCCCTCTGATCATGCGGTGTATCAGTGTATACAGCAGCTCACGAAGAAGAAGACCTGCAGAACCCATCCTCCCGCCCCTTTGGGAAGTAGCGACATGGACTGTTGCGTAACCCCACGTATCCGTGATGAAATGACTTCTGCCGCCCTTGTTTCTATCGTCACTCCTCACAACAACTTGGCTATTTCCATGCGTGATTCGTTCGTTTCATCGTTACTCGTGGAATGGAGCTTCCCAAAATTTCAGTTCCGACCCTGTGCCTGTACAGCACGAATCTCTCGAATGTGCACCGAGGCCCGCAAGTCACGCATGGACCACCGAGCACTTTCCATCTACCCGGTGTCCCTATGTGTGACAGTGCAATGGGTTCTCCGTGCTGCTGGTGTCCTCTTAAAGGAGGCAAGGTTTTTCATAGTTTTCATGTGGCTCGCGGTGCTGTTGGCGCCTGTGTGCCCATGCGCCGCATGTGGTTCTTAGATGTTGCAAAAAGGACGAAGGTTTTGTGGTCTGCTTGGCGGCTCTTTACAGGTTTGCTGACTATGTTGCACGCATGGCTGATATTCGACATTGCCTGCTCGGCTCAGCTTGCATACGCATGCCCAGCCGACACCGGTCAGTATTACAACATTCAGAGACCAGGACTACACTCCGCCTCTTCCGTTGGACAGGATTTGTTTTTTCCAGTGGACCGTGTTTTGTGTACCCGTCTTCCTTTCAGAAAGAACGGCTGCTTCTAATAAAGCTTTGATGAGCTCTTCTAGTGGTGCGCTGGGCTGAGCATCTCGGTTTTTACGTTTGACGAGAAGGCATGCAAATGCCGCATTAACAGTTGAGAATGCTCTCCATGTTCCGGGGGAGGGAGAGGGAAGTTCTCCGTGCCATTTCGGTGCAAGGATGAGTTTTTGTATGGGGGTGGTGCCATGGCTTGTTTGTTGCCGTCCGATGCTGTGCTTGAAAGCTGGACTTCGCTGGGTGATGCGATGCAGTGGGCAGGCAGTTCCCACGAAGCTGATGAAATCAGTCGCACGGCACATCGGAAACCCTGACATGACACAGCTGACTCAGCTGACCTTGTTAGAAGCAGATCTCCCAGAGGAGTGGAGAGATGCCATGACGCAGGCTCGGATCGGTGCCCGAGAGTTTGAAAAGGGCCACTTGATGAATGCAGTGAGAAAGAAGTCTGGACTCAACGCGGCCTTTGAAGGGGTTGCAAGCTCAACAAAGCAGTCCTTAGCACCGCCTGTTGTGCCTGCAAACGCGCCTCGTGTAAAGTGTGGAGCTCAAGTTGAGCCAAGTGGTGGATCCAGGTGCCGATCAAGATTGCGAGATGCTCAGCAGTTTCGAGTTGTTGGTTTGCCGCCAGCACTACGCGGCTAGCTAGCAGCTAGCACCGGCGACTCACCTTTGGAAAAAGGGGAGGTGACCGACGCCCAGTTGAGCTGCGTGCAGCATCTTGCAGGCGAAGGTAGAGAGCGGACAGGCACCTTTCATCGATATGGGGGTGTGGGGCCCGTACGGAGATCGGATTGCTAGAGCGACGAAATTTACTTGTCAGGCCTTGGAGGATGGGCAGTGGAAAGCTTAGAGGCTTAGAATTGCCGGGCGCAGCCAACATCCATGCTTGGTAAGAGAGCTGGTGAAGTTTCTGGACGGCGTGTGTCATGCTCGACATTGCCAAGCCGGCGGTGTTGGACAGATACAGCGCCGAGTTCCGTGACCGAGTGGCGGAGTTCCCAGATGTATGGCATAAGACCGCACAGGCGGACATCCGCTGTAGGAGTGCATGGTGGACTCAGGAACAGCGACGACAGCATTCCTTTCACTTGGCCCATGCATCCTTTGCAGTGTACGACACCAAGCAGCTCTGGAATCTGGAATCGGTGATCAAAGCCAGCGCTTCCTGCAGTGACTTCTAGATTCTAGCGCAAAAAGTTTGAGCAACCTGCTCTGTGCTACCAGCGCAACGGCCCCAAGGCCATGCCCGCCGCCCCTGAGCCGCCACTAGATGGGGGCTTCAGGCTGGGCGGGGGTGAGAAGCGGAAGTTTGATCCGCAGCGAAAGGATGGCCATCACGTGACGTCCAAAGGCCTCAACATCTGCTACGATTGGTCTCGCAAGCCAGAGGGGTGCAGCATTGGCAAGTGTGAGAAGGGCATGGCTCACGTCTGTGAGTGGTGCAGGCAGCCACATCGTTCGATCGATTGCCCGCAAGTCCCAGGTTGGAAACCCGAGTAGAAGAACAGGCACGCAGCGAGGACGCGGAGGTGGAAAAGGCGAGGGAGGTCGCCGACGCTCCCAGAGGCGACAGTGAGCACAGGAGGTACCCGCACGGCTGCCGACGTCGGTGGATCTGTCCTTCCTGACGGGAAGGCTGGAGACACGGAAAGCTAGAGTAGTGAGTAGCGGCCACAGATGCGGGATCATGCAAGCAGAATTCAGTTAGTCGCAACAGTACTGGGGCAGCTACAGGGACTGAGCAACTGCCTGGGGCTTTTCGCCGTGCAGTTCGAGCGCGTTGGCAACTCTTTTGGCCTTTGTGAGTTGAGTGTTTTTCGTGGCAGAGGGCAGAGCGCGGTGGCTTCACGCGGCTTCAGAACAGCCCGACGGCCACAAGGGCAAGCGCCTCGACCTAAGCAGGTAGTGCAGCAAGAACAGCGCGGCTGGTGAAAGCTCAGCGGCGTGTTGGGGGCTGGTTCAGTGTCGAGGGGCCTGCAAGCTCCTTGTTCTGGAGCTACGCACCCTACAAGTCCTTGTTGAAGCTCGAGGATGTCACACAACTGAAGTGTGACCAGTGTTGCTTCGCTGGGCGAGCACAGGAACTCGACCAAGTGGCTTACCAACACAACGTTTCTTCGAGTACCGGCTCGTTCCTGTCCGGGGCCACCAGAACATCAACATGGAAAGCTGCAAGTGCGACAAGACACTGTGCTGGTGTCCGAGTACCCACAAGGACTCTGCGCAAGGGTGGCAGGGGCCTACTGCTAGGCACTGGCTCAGGCGCCGTGCAGAAGACGAACCACTGGCACCGGAGGGCTCCAGGAAGAGACAGCAGCCAGAACAAGAAAACCGAGACTGCATTGGCGGCCTGCGAGCCACACATCGTTCTGTACAGAAGCTGCCTGGATGGAAGACTGTGGGGATGGCGATGAGGCGTTGTCTGGACCAGATGCTTCACGAGAACCCCCACTTGCTCCGAGTGGTTCAGTCCGTTGGTCATGACCATCCTTGTTACGGTGATGCTGATGTGCGGCTAGTGCAAAACAAGTTGGCTTCATTGCTGAAGCTGCAAGACATACCGCGCAAACCTGGCTTGTGGTCAGAGTTACTACAGGCTTGAGTCCAAGCGAAAGGCGATCCAGACCTGCCTGAGGCCAAATGGCCAGATGAAGGAACACTGCTTGGAATCGAAGAAGAGATCCCTGCCAGCGGAGTGTTTCCAGCGTTAATTGCAGAGGAGCAAGGTGGGGAAGCAGCACATCATAGCACGGGTGGAGTTCTGTCACGAGTTGAACGGAGCGGAGTTTAACTACAAATCTTGCGAAGAGCACCGGAGCAAGCAGACGTTTTGTTCAGGCAACAAGTGAAGGCGGGATTTGCACAAGCAGATGCCGATCGCACGAAACTTGAAGCCAAGTAGGGCCACTGCTGCCATAGGCATAGTGGCCAAGCGCAAACCTGGAGGTGGCTGGAAGTACCGCTTAGCGCACGACCTGCGCAGAAATGGCGTGAACAGCAAGATTAAAGTCCAGGAGCGAGACGCCATCGAGGACGCTATCTCGTTGTTTGAGAGCTGGCTCCAGCTAGAGGAGGAAGTTCTTTGGCTCACCCTGGATTTTAAGAACGCCTTCAAGCAGCTGCCTACATAGCAAAATGAACGGCGGTTCTTGGCG